TCTGTGTTGGGATACACTTCGTCGATCCTACTAGGCTCGATAATTAGTAGTCCCCACCGACTGGTGTTTGGCGAATGGAGATTGCGGAGGGCAAGACTGAACACCTGTACGCCGTGTCCTCTACGAACCTGGGAGTGAAATATTCTCCCAGAGCCAAGTTCAGTCAAATTTCGCAATATCAAAGAAGTTGGCCCACGAGGCAAAATTTCAAATTACTCCACCACGTCTAATTTTCACTCCCAAAGAGATCGAATCCTACCTAAGCCTTATCAAGTCTACAAGTACGACCTAGTACATTCTCATTCCAATGACCACACCTCTCGTCGACTTTCTCTGGCCTCAGCCGGTCACCAAATACACGCCCACGCCGATATTTATACCCGATGGAGGAAGCAAAGCGTGGCGCACAAATCTGGGAAATAGTCCTTTGGGATGGACGTGAGAGGTATCAGGACAAGTACATTTCTCGCGGCGTTGGTATGCATGGAAGACGAAGGCATGCTTGGATAATCAAAGGTTTTTAAATTCCCTATGGTAGTTACTTACGGAGGAGGGTCGACCATTTGTGCAAGCAAGCATACCTCATAGTGGTATTTGCAAATGAAATCCAGAGTATGAGTGTCTCTAACGTCAAAAGAGTCATCCAACATGTATAAATAGCGCCGGTCATGTGTCATAGCTAGATAGCTGGATACACATTAAATGATTTAAAAAAAAAAAGAGATTGCGTATACCCTGTGCTAGCGTTGTTTACTGCTGTTAATAGGAGATCCCGCACGGGCTATCTAATGGGATTAAAAGGAGTCTGGTAGCTGTGTTATTTTTTTTTTGCATCAGATTTTAATTGCGTATGCAGCTATCTAGCTATGACACAATATCAAAGAAAAGTACAGAAAATATGACTCAATTTACAAGAGGAGCACTCATGCCTCGGATTTCATTTGCAAGTACCACTGCGAAGTTATGGCCGCTTTTTCTTCACCCCACGTCAACCCTCATCCGTAAATACCCAGCCAGGGGAACGTCTCAAAAACTCTGAGTTATCCAGACATGCCTCCGTCATCTTTCAACTTTCCTCCGCGCGATATGTGATCTGAGGTGTCTCCGTTCCAAGTGGGGTAGGTGCCCAGGCTGCTCAAACTATACCGGAGAACACCACCAGGAGCCGGATCACAACACCTTCCATCGTCGGCTTGTTTTTATAGTGTCATCTGCACTCTCACAAGCGAAGTCTTGGCGCGCACAAAGCTCAATTCGTAAAACTCTTGCCAAAATTCGGAATTTCACGCCCGTCGAAAACATATCCCTCTTCTGCATCATCTTGTAACCTTGTCCTGATCCCTCTCACGTCCATCCCGAAGAACTATTTCCCAGATTTGTGCGCCACGCTTTGCTTCCTTCATCGGGTATAAATATCGGCGTGGGCGTGTATTTGGTGACCGGCTGAGGCCAGAGAAAGTCGACGAGAGGTGTGGTCATTGGAATGAGAATGTACTAGGTCGTACTTGTAGACTTGATAAGGCTTAGGTAGGATTCGATCTCTTTGGGAGTGAAAATTAGACGTGGTGGAGTAATTTGAAATTTTGCCTCGTGGGCCAACTTCTTTGATATTGCGAAATTTGACTGAACTTGGCTCTGGGAAAATATTTCACTCCCAGGTTCGTAGAGGATACGGCGTACAGGTGTTCAGTCTTGCCTTCCTATCAAAGAATGTGGTTCCATTAACTCCCAAAAAGATTGCGAGAATATAGTTCCTCTTATCGATGGCATGGTCTCGATGAGACCTTGGCTTTCCGTTATTCAGGATAATGCTCCTGCCCACACAGCCGCAATTACAATGGAAGATATGAGCCAGAGGCACATTCAACCGAATTTCTGGCCGGCCAACTCGCCTGATCTTAACCCCATTGAAGCTGTTTGGAATAAGATGAAGGATTGCATCCAGCGTCATCATCCGAATCTGGGCTGCGGAAAGCAGCGAACTCAAGATAGTCTTCGCAACATTGCAAAGGAGGCATGGGATTCCGTATCTTCCGAAGATCTTGTGAGACTCATTCAGAGTATGCCAGCAAGACGTCAGGCTGTGGTAGATACGGATGGGGGACTGGCCAGAAATTAAGGCCTGAAAATATTCCAGCCGCATGTTCAGATCTAAGGTTAGGATAAGACTGGCTCTATTTTGTAATTTGAAAACCTTTGAACTCTTGTAAATAAGTTATAAGGTCAAGTAGCAAAAATGCACAAATGTTATGCAGCCGATCATTATATAAATTAGGTTTAGTACGAAGGAAAGACCCACTACAAACTATGGTGTCCAGATAGAAACTGCCATACAACTTTTTGCGAAAATTTGCACAAATATGGGAGCTAACTCCAATATGGAAGGTGACTATGCCTAAGGCGTCTTAGTTTACACGCTAAAACCCCTGCCAAAGCCCACTACAAACTTGACACCGTGGCATCACGGTAAGTATGTCTTGACTCACAGTAGACCCCCAAGCTAGCTGAGTGTAAGACAGAATCATGCATGTGCTATAATTTTCGACATATCTTGTGATAAGCGCTAAAAATAATTAATAAAGCAGAAAATAGAATAGAATAGAATAGAAATTTATTTATTTCCCTACTGAGTCTATGACTATGAAGGACAGCTAAAACTATCTAAATAGCTTTAAAGTTAATAGTAATTTTGTATATTGTTGTGCTTAATTTTCGCCAATACAAGATGAGGGCCATGTCCTATGGGGTGTATATTGCAGAAAATAGATGTGGCGCTGTATTAAATAATATGAATAGCGGATACGAAGACGAGATAGTACATGACTAGTGTAGGACTGTTAAAATTACAACACTACCTTTCCCGAATGCATATATGAAGGCTATCACAGCTTGATTGTTTATTAATTATACATCTCCTTTATAAGGTACAGATTAGTCCATGGTGATCGATGATTTGGAATCTCACCATTCAAGGAAACGACAAATTTGCAGGCAAAGATGTGCTGTTTTTCAATAGTTTTTCTACATATTTGTAGACTTAAAAAGAACAAGAATGTGTAAATAATGGTAGAGATTTGACGGGTGATATGGATGAAGAGCACTTAACCACAATGGAGGACGTCAGAGAATCCATAGAGGCTTTTAACTGCAACAAGGAGTCCTGGATAGCAATGTCCAAGGACCCGTCTCCAATCGAGGAGAGGATGATGCCGCTCGACGAGTTTGTAAAGAAGAAGCTCGCGGATCCCGCATGAAGAGCTGGTCCAGGAGCGGTTTCAGTGGTGTCGAAATCATGGACTTACGCGTCAGTCGTAGCTCCGTAAACGAAGAAGAAGGCGGTACGAATGAGGATCGACAGAGCGAAAGAACTTTATTCAGGAGAGCTTCTTTTCAAGATAAATGTCCGTAATGGAGGATCGATTGTGGTCAGGCTTCCATCGGAGGCAATGCAAACGAAAGTGATTCGATATGGCCTTGTAATTAACGCCAAGCTGTTTACCGCGCAAGTGTAGTCACCCGAGGCCCAGCCAACGCAGTGTTTCAACAGCAGCTAGTGGGGGTATTCAAGCGTCGTGTGAAAAGATAGCCAGGTGCGCTGAGGACACTGGCGCTCAATAAATTCGGGACTCTCTGAGAAAAAGGGTTTCTTGCGTGAGTTGTGGCAGGGATGCGCGTGTCGGAATTACAGGTCCATAAAAGGAGTGTGGAGAGGGCTCGAGTGGAGGATCTATCGACAACGCTGGAAATATGGAGTCAACGAAATCTGCGGAAAGTTTATGAAAGTATGGTTTAAAGGAACCTTCTCAGCATTATGCCTGGTCGGTCCTGGGTGGTAGGACAGTGAGATTTATTTCGTTGAAAGCTTTGCCCTTACTAATTTGGCTTATCATCTACACGTTTCTAAAAATAGATACCACATAGGACGATAAACGAGAGAAATTCGTTACCTCGAAACTAAGGATCTTCCAGCGATGGACCATAGCGCCATCTATCCCATTGAATCTTTCAAGAACGTATTCCTTCTACGCCACCTACTATTGGTGCACAACGTACATCCTAATACAGAAAAACTCTATCGAAATCAAATCTCCACCTCTGCAATAAGATAAGAATTTTTATCATAGTCCCTTCTGAGTCTAAGACTATGAAGGACTTCTAGAATCTACCATTAAAATTCTGGCAACTATTTCAATGTTAAATTAATTTATTTAATGTGTTCCAATAGATGTTGAGGGTCCACCTCTGCAATGATTGTACCCAATCTAAGTTATCCACCATACCAATACGTCGTAATCTGAGACCTCCTGCGGCTATCTGTCGACTCACGGTCACATTTTTTGAGGCGAATGGGAGCTGGATGTTGGATGGGTGAAAAAGGTATTCTTTGAACTATTTGCATCCTACATTGTACTCAAAGGCATGTTGCATCTTTGGCAGGAAATAGATCTTGTGGAGACTGCAGCTTCGCGACGGTACAAAGTATTTTTTCTACTGTTCCATGGGCTAACTTGTGTTTGATGGAATCTGGCTGAGCTCTGCACCAGAAAGGTGTTCTTAGGCCACTGTCGGGGAAGGTGATTGCTGACTTGTGGCCAGTGGTAACTCATCTATCTAATACATGGTCTTTGGGCCCTTGATAAGGAGAATGGGTGGAAGGCTAAGCCATCTAAATTGTATTCGTTGCTATGCTGAAGGTAGCCCTGTAAATTCAGTAAACACAAGTAATCAAAGAGCCCAGAGTGAAGGGTTCAGAATAGAAGGCTAGATATCTCAAGACAAGGTGTGTAATTGCCAAGAATATTAACTTCATCAACTAGGCTATGAATTGTTCTCTTGGAATTACCGATGTATGCCGTAGGAGTATAAAGGGCCAAGATTACATGAGTCGTGACGCTCCACTCAACGGAGCTGTTCGACAATGAGGTGATTATGCAGATGGCCTATGACAGCTACTTTTGCGCAGTACTATCACAGAGAGTAATACATGCTGTTGAGCTGCCATGAACGAAAATGGTGTTCTGGGGAATCTGAATTTCATACATATACACCACAGTGTTGCCAGCTTCATCTTCTATCACCGTCGTCGACCTTTCCTGAGCAACTCTAGCATAATACACGACAATATGCGGCTCTTAAACTCGATCTTTCTGGTAGCATACGTTTTGCCACTAGCTCACGCTATGCCAGGCTTGCAAATAGCTCGGGCGGCCACAGATAATGATGATGTTCCCTTCACGAACTTTGCAATCATCGAGGCTCTTGGAAGAATTTACGCAACACACCGGAGACTTCTTTCACTCTACCAAAATGCCCCTTACTCCGATCCACGTGTGCAGTATGATGGTGCAATAGTAAGCCTGTTCCATGGCGAAGATTTTAGGGGGCAGCCACGAATAGCATTTTTGTTCAAGACTACTCTGGAACCGATTGAAAGGAATGCTAATGTACAAGGTAAGAATTGTGGAAGATCTTCTAAGTCTAGGTAGCCAAGTCAAAATGTTAATTTGAAAAGGTCTTTATTGGGTCGTTGCAAGCTGCGAAAATAATAAATGTTTCCATCGCGGTATTATTCGTATAGGTAGTAACCCTATGGATTACACAGCACTTGATGAAGTGGATGAAGCGGATGAGCACCATGATATTCTATGTTATCCAGAAAATTAGGAATCTCCTGTATTTCCTGCATAAGAAGTGGTGTAATTGGCCAAATGAGAGATCTCAGTGGTGAAGATGGCTCTAGTTCACGAGGATGATTGATTTGTAAATTGTAGTAATTCTATGAAGTACAAAGACTTGGTGGTGGTGATGGTATTACTTATCGTCTGATGAAGGTCAGCTCGCCATCCTTTGGGATATCTGACGAATGACGAATGAAGAATATCTATATTACGTGATTCTCCAAGCTACAGCGGTGCCCGAATTTTCCCGATACCTGAGTCTGGGCCAGCTGGTTACATGGAGTTTGATGGTGTCAAATTTGAGCGGCGGATTGGGGGAAGAAGTCAGTGATGTTGAAGATTTTTTGTTGAATGAAATTGATGAGGTAGAGGTTGATGGGTGAGTTATTTACTATTGTTGTTGAACTGGTTCGAGGCTTTCCTCCATGTAATACACAAATTAATTCATTTTATTGTCCTGTCTGAGTCTATGACTATGTAGGACATGCAGGTCCTCTCTGCCTACATGCCAAGGACGTTGAGGGCGAAGATGTTTATGGACACCGCACGTAAACAGTACCACAAAGTGTTAATATTTTTCTATAGAGATTAACTTTAGGAAATCTGTTACATTAGATTTGCCCTCTGCAGCTACCAGTGATCTTGATTCCTGACACGTAATCCTTCGCTACTATGTGATCTGTTTCCCAGCCTCAGCATGTTTAACTTAGTGATTCGAGTCGTGAGAAACGACCCCACTTTGGACCACGTGATTGAAGTCCTTGAACGAGGCTGGGCCTGAAAGATAGCCCAGCCTAATCGAACGGAGCACAGCCCGTAACAAAGGATACCTATACCAGTAGTATATCCCCTCCTGTGCCTTCTATGCAGCTCCCCTCAAACAGTACCACCCCTCACAAGTCCTCATTGGATAATACACTTGGAGGAGCCCTTTGCCCTCCATTATCTCCCCTCTCCAGCCAACGAAACGATGACCATTTGCGGATGTATGGCAGCCGGGAAAAATCGCCAAAAACCACTGGATGCGGAGCTCTCCTTATACCGACATTAGGACTAAATCCGAAGACATAGTGACCCTTCTGATGAGTTCGAAAAGACCGGCCAGCCGGGCGCTGCAGACTTGTGGGTACCTCGGAGAATTCACACTCTGCCTTTCTAGCCTCCTTCCAACTCTTCCCAAAGGTCGCTCTGAAATGTCAGAAAACTCTTGACAGAGCGTGATTGCTGTATGGTAGCTTAGCCTAACTTCTTTTGTACCGTCCAGGGCGTTGAGGAGTGCTGTTGACTCATCGACAAAAGAAGCCCTGGCTAATTAGCCGAAATCTTGGTCTTGGCGCCCACAAAAAATCCAAAGTCGAAAACTCCTTGAGAATATTAGTCCCAGCATGCTCTTTAGAGACCTTACCCCCCTCCCGCTCCACATCTCAGCCGCCTGTTCTCCCTCAAGTTGTTTGTCCCATTAGAGCAACAGTCCCCCAAAAGCCATGACCCAGGCTTTGTATTTTTCGACTTGATTTCCTCCTTGCGGGTATACGTAGCGTCGTAAATATGTAGTGAGAGATGGCTGGAAATTAATGGGGCAAGCTCCTGTATGAAATTGGAGCAACTTCTTTATTGGTCGTCGAGGCGAGATGATGTGTGGTTAGAGAGAGGTTGAGGACTCAGAAAATGATGGTAAGAGAGGCATTGTCGAGAAGTTGTCAAATGGAGATGTGTTTGAGGTTGCTTTTGACTTCGATTCGGATGCGATTCTTCTTGGCTATCCTAGATATGCAGAGTATATTGAGCCATTACACCAGCACCACTGGAAGGTGAAGAATTCGTCTTTGCCGGCATGTAATACACAAAGGATATTTCATATCGTAGCTCGAAACCTACATACACATTGCATAATTTAAAAGATAAAAATTAGGACCTTTTGATGGAAATACAGCTTCCTGAATTTCTTTCTGTCGACCACTGTAGTTGCATGATCAAATGAGGACTTGTGAGGGGTGGTACTGTTTAAGGGGAGCTGTATGGGAGGCATAGGAGGGGATATACTCCTGGCACAGGTATCCATGGCCTGTAGGTAGATAGGACCTGCATGTCCTACATAGTCATAGACTCAGACAGGACAATAAAATGTATTAAAAAAAAACTGTGGTTGCATGCATCTTGCCTGAACTATTTTTCCGATCCAATCAGACTCCACGTTTGAGTCTGCTGAAATCCCACTCTTCCCGAACAAATCCAGTAATTGGTTTGTTTGTGTTTTCTATTACATGACCCGGGGGACTATTTTTAACAACTGTCAGTGGTGTCCCCTTCACGCTTCCAGCTCTCACTGTAGAATCTCCGGAGCCGAGATTGAGTAACACCTTTCCAACCTTGAACTGAGTAAATTCCTTCTCCGTCACAGATGCGCTTCCGATAATCCATAAGATGACCAAGGCGACAATTATGATGCTGGGAATGAAGAAAGATAAAGCGGTACCAAATGCAACAAATTTAGTCAGAGAAGCCCTTACTATATCACAGCATGTGCAGCCCACGAAAGCAAAGTAAAAGAGCCTTCCGCCCTCAAGAAAAGCAGATTTCGACTCGTCAATAATATCGTCACCTCTAGCTTTCAACTCAAGACCTACTAGCCAAGAGGCCATCTGAAATACATGTAACTTGACAATCTCACTTCCTTAACGACCTTTGGATGCCAGGCTAGGCTCCTTCGCGGCAGTCATTCTCGACCAAGACTTTTTTGACATCTTTTCACGACCTTCGATTTGTTCTGCGGCATGAATCAGGGGAGGAGTAAGGAATAGGCTAGGAAGGTTGAGAGACACTCTTAGGTATACACAGGTCTGCTGCGTCCCGCTGGCTGGCGTCTTCGTCATAGGAGAGCCCCGCACCCAGTGGTTTTTGAGACTTTTCCCAGCAGCTACACACCCGCAAATGGCCATCGTTTCGTTGGTTGGAGAAGGTAGATATGAACGGGTTAACGATTCCTCTCAGTGTTCACTCGAATGAAGGGCTGTGGGTATATTGTTGTTGGAAAGAGAGAGATAAGTGTGAGGGTTTTACTGGAGTAGAACCAGCTTCAACCAGTTTTAAATGGGGTAGGTGTTCAAGATAACCAGAATCTGCTTGGGAGAGCGGCCCGGATGGTGTGCCACTGCACCATTCAACCTCAAGATATGGGACAATTTAGTTAAATAGACGACATCCTGCATTAATAGAAATCATGTTGTATCTAGTCTTAAGTTCTATTTTACATATGGCTAGGAGGGCAAGACTGAACACCTGTTCGCGGTGTCCACTATGAATCTGGGTTTGAAACAATCTCCCAGAGCCAGTTTCAGTCAAATCTCGCAATACCAAAGAAGTTGGCCCACGAGGCTATGATTCAAATTACTCCACGTCTAATTTTCACTCCCAAAGAGATCGAATCCTACCCAAGCCTCATCAAGTCTTGAAGTATGATCCAGTACATCCTTTTTCTCATGACCACACCTCTCATCGAATTTCTCTGGCCTCAGCTGGTCACCAAATACACGCCCACGCCGATATTTATACCGGCTGGAGGAAGCAAAGCGTGGCGCACAAATCTGGGAGTTATTTCTTTGTGATGGACGTGAGAGGGATCAGGACAAGTTGACCAGATGATGCGAAGGAAGGATATTACCTTGAAGGGCGTGAAATTCCGAAATTTGGCAAGAGTTTTACGAATTGGGCTCTGTGTGCGCCAAGACTTCGCTTGTGAGAGTGCAGCTGACACTGTAAATACAAATCAACCATGGGAGGTGCCGTGGTCCGCCTCCTGGTGATGTTCTCTGGTATGGTTTGAGTAGCCCGGGCACCTACTCCACTTGGGAAGGAGACGCCTCAGATTACATTTCGCGCGGAGAAAAGTTGAAAGATGATGGAGGCATGTCTGAATAACTCAGGGTTCTTGAGACGTTTCCCTGGGTGGGTATTCACGGATGAGGGTTAACTTGGGGTGAAGAAAAAGCCACAATAACTTCGCAGTGGTACTTGCAAATGAAATCCGGGGCATGGGTACTCTTCCCTTACGTTGAATCATCTATTCTGTACTTTTCTTTGATATTGTGTCATAGCTAGATAGCTGCAAACGCAATTAAAATCTGATGCATAAAAACAACTACGTGGATGACGATTTACTACTAAGGTAAAAAGCGCATTCATGACAATTTTCACTTCGGTTGGTACTTGCATGAATGCGCTCTATAATCTCAATGTCTGAGGGTCATAATTTTCTGATATGTTGTGATATTTTAGCAAGACAATTTTGCCAGGGAGTTTTTATTTCAGATAAATAACCTTGAACAGATGGACAAATAGGACAAGGCAGAATGATTTTTCAGGTTTGTTTGCTGTTAAATTTCAGAAATAATTTACAATCAAATTCAATTTATTGACATATCCTTGGCACCGGTTCTCATTCAGAGTATTCCTTGCCTCTTTTCGAAACTTTTGCATGCCAGTATCCTTCCATAAGTTGCGTGAGCTCTATCCTTCGAGTCGATTCCATCTAAAGCTCCTTATCTATCTTGGAGAGCATTTGAAAGTGCTAGCACTAGTAAGCTTTCGGAATTGATTGACTCATCCGCTGTCAAAGCTGCGCAAATCACACTGAGGGAGAGTAGTCTGGATCTCAATGGTTCAGTGGACTAGTGCAATGGAAATAATGCGATTTAGGAAATGGTAAACTCCTTTCGACGAAATGAGTAGGCCTTCGAGGATGAATGATACTTAGAAATGCTATTGCCGTGGAGGCTACATTTGTCTTCTTCATGTATGCTATTTGTGGATTCCTGCCACTTAGACCGGCGAGAGTGTTGGAAATACAGTTTCCTGCTTTTCTTTCTATCGACCAATGTGGTTGCACGCATCTTGCCTGAACTATATTTCTGAGTTCGGGCAGGATCCCACATTTCTGATCCAATCGGACTCAACGTTAGAGTCTGCTTGAATCCCATTCTTCCCGAACAAATCCAGTCATTGGTTTGTTCGTACTTCTATTGCGTGACCCAGTATTCTCAGTCAGTGGATAATTATTTTCTGGTACGGGGTCCCACTTATTTATGCAGTCGAGTCGGTTCCGGGTAACCTCTATTTCTTATAATTCCACTGTATATATCATAATACCTGTAGTCTATTAGTAAATTAAGCAAACTGAACTTCTTCTCCGTTCTCAGGCAATTCTTACTCCGAAGTCTTCTCTATACTCTAACAGAGAGTGACAGATTAAAGTGGTCGCTGTTTTCTTAACGATCGTTTAACTTTCTTTCCCTTACTCAAATTCACGCAGGCTAATGAGGTTTTCTTATCTATATCACGAGTGTCTTGCTGAATCAACTGAACCGACTGACAACTTGTGGAACAAGTCAATGCAAGCAAAAATTGTAACCCTCCAAAAGTCAGCAGCTTGATCAGAGGGCGTCATTTCGCGACGATAAATTGAGTGACATACCTGCTACTGGTTTGCTTGTAGACACGGGAACGGGCTCCAAACAAGTAACACCAGGGCCCACAAACTTTCCAATTTCCAGGTCAAGCAGTGGAGCAGTTTCTTCCCCCAATATAAGTTTTAGGCATTGTCGTCCATTACATTTTCCATTCAGACCACTGCGAATTCTTAATATCTTGTTCATGTAAGTTTTGATGGCTAATTTTTTGACACTGACTTTCACACCGCATTGGAAGTTCGCATTCGACCTTCCCAGGACGGCGCTGGAGAAGGGAAGGTAGAGGAGAGAAAGAAGGAATATTGAGCTTGAAATTCGCATATTTTCGTGGGTTAAGATGCAGTTCTGTGGGAGATTTTGATTAGAATAGAACCAATAAAGATGGCTCTCTACATATATTCAAAACTCAGATATCCGATCTACTACAGTGCTACATATTATTTTCAGGCAGAGTCACGTCAATCACGATTCAAGAAAGGGGCATCCATCTGCCTCGAACTTTTTGTCTCGTCTCTTTATCCATGCTCACGTCCAGTGCTTCGAGCTTCGTCTTTTACGCGTTCCAATGTTTGATCCTAGAAAACGCCGTATTTGGATGTATCGAAGCTTACACCAGCTGTCTACATGACTATCCACCCGGTCTCTTCGACTTGTTTGAAACGGTTGCAACGGTCGATGAGATAAGATGAGGCGAAGACTTTGTCGGCAGGGGATGAAACCCACGGGTTTCTACACTCATACGGCAACTGACTGGCTGCCACACCGCCTAGAATGGCCCTTTTTTCGATTAGATCAAGGTGGATGTCGTGAAGACCTAAAGTTTTCTGAATGTCTGTTGGAATGGGGTTTAGTGGGTCTATGATACTTGGAGATTGTGATGTCGTTACGAGAGTGAACTTTCACCTGACATGTACACATTTACCACTTGTACGTAAGGAGGGATTAAACACTACATCATTTAATGTGCAAACTTCCTAAACTGCGTCAACGATATTCTCTTCAACGCCAAGGTTTGGGATATTTTCTCAAGCTGAAGACTAGTGAATAACATGGGCGGGATCATTTTCATTTGATGAGTCTTCGGCTTCAAGGGGCTCAACATCGTACGAAAGTCCAGAACTCAGTCTACAATGGTTTGAAACTTTCCATTAGCGGCTACTCGAGAACAAGAGTCGACTGTTTTGTGTAAAGAAACACAGCTCAGTGTGGGATTTGCGAATGGGATCCAGAGTATGAGTGTCTCTGAAGTCAAAAGCGTCAAAGAAAATCCCTTGGAAACATGTTCAATTACTTAACAAAATGCGAGGATGGTACTATTGACCTAGCACGCTGATGTGAGCACACGTCAACTATCTACGGCTTTAATGGATAATCGGTGTTCAGCAAGTCTCCCTCTTTCGTGAGCTTGACTCGGTGTCCTCGAGGTGATTCCTACTCTGTGCCCAGTTCTCGGGCTAGGCCGTCTCAGAGAAATCGAATGGGGCAACTGCTAGTTTTTTGATCTCATCTAATATGTATTCATGTTCATGATAATCATACATAATGAGTGCTCTGTGTACGTGTTGGAAGAGTCTGTGAACTCAAGACGTCTAGACTCCAAGTTATACTTGCAAATACAACCATGAAGTGTGATTGCTTAACTTGAAAGGTTAACCCTCGTTTACGGATACGATCCAAAGTCAGATTGCAAATACTGTGACGATAGAAGCAATGCAACAAGCCCAGATATGCGGTGTAGACTTGCCGAATACGCATTGTCCTCCCACCTAACTGGGATAGGATTCCGGACTGGCTAAATTTATCCTGGTGGATCGGCTTGAACGTTGCACCATTGCGCCATGTAGCCATGACTGTGTAGAGAACGTCGCTTGCTCTGTCATAAACCAAACCGTACAGCGTATAATACTCAACTTGAAACTCAGCAGAAAAATTATGCAACACATGCTGGCAAGCACATCTCATCGGGGAGCAAGACTGAACACCTGTCAGAGGTGCCCTTTACGAACCTGGGAGTGAAATATTCTTCCAGAGCTGAGATTTACTCACAATAAAGGGTATGATGAATTTTTTTTCATGGATTTTCGACTTGATGGAGTTGCACTCGATATTTTGGTCGAAAAATCAGTCGGCAGAGATTTCACAGCCGGAACAAAGTCGAACAAAGACTCATCACCACCATCATACGATTCATGAATGTGCTTAAGTCTGTCTGGGGGTCGTATTCAAACATCCGACATTTCTCAAACTCCTGTTATATTTGCGACGAAGCATTTCTCAGTCAATCCTATACTTGCAACCCACTTCCATACTGGTCCGATCACCTACCTGCACACGCCGTAATGAGGAAAGTCATGATGGAAACGGGACATGTAAAAAGGAGGAAGAAAAGGAGGGAAGATAAACCAAGGGGATAACACAATTCCCCGATGACGAAATCAACCCAACGGTATGATAAGAATAGGTGCAAGGCTAGAGCAAAGATGAGGTCTTGGACGGCATTATGTGTCGGAGTCAACGAGGATGTCAAGGTCTCGGGCGCGTGGTGGTCAAGGCTGAGGAGGAAATTGCGCTACGGCGTGTATACCGCGGGTTTCTAGACGGTTAGGCTTGGTATGATTCAACACATGAGTGAAGTCTGAGGTGGTCTGGTTATTTAAGTGGGACGAGGTTTATCTGTACTTCGCGATAGTTAACGTGATCCGTTCCCACTTGTGCTTAAGCTCCAGTAGGAGTGCAACGGTAGTCACTTAACCTAGCACGTTAATGAACAAAAAAAAAGACTGAACACCTGTACGCGGTATCCTCTACGAACCTGGGGGTGAAATATTCTCCCAAAGCCAAGTTTAGTCAAATTTCGCAACACCAAAGAAGTTGGTCTACGAGGCAAAAATTAAAAATACTCCACCATGCCAATCTTTCACTCCCAAAGAAATCTATTCCTACCTAAGCCTCATCAAGTCTACAAGTACGAGCTAGTATATCCTCGTTTCAATGACCACACCTCTCGTTGACTTTCTCCGGCCTCAGCTGGTCACCAAATATACGCCCACGCCGATATTTATACCCGATGGAGGAAGCAAAGCGTGGCGCACAAATCTGGGGAACAGGTCTTTGGGATGGACTAGAGAGGGATTAGGACAAGTTCATAAGATGATGCAAAGGTAGGATATAACCTCGAGGGGCATGAAATTCCGAATTTTGGCAAGGAGCTTTACGAATTGAGCTTTGTGCGCACCAAGACTTCGCTTGCGAGAGCGCAGCTGACACGATAAAAACAAGCACACGATGGAGGGTGCCGTGGTCCGCCTCCTGGTGGTGTTCTCTGGTATAGTCTGAGTAGACTGGGCACCTGCTTACCTTGGGAAGGAGACACCTAAGACTACATTTCGCGCGGAGAAAAGTTGAAAGATGATGGAAGCATGTCTGGATAACTGAGGGTTTTTGAGACGTTCCCCTGGGTGAGTATTCACGGATGAGGGTTGACTTGGGGTGAAGAAAAAGCGGCCATAACTTCGCAGTGGTACTTGCAAATGAAATCTGAGGCATGAGTGCTCTTCTTGCAAATTGAGTCATCTATTATACACTTCTTTGATATTGTGTCATAGCTAGATAGCTGCATACGCAATTAAAATCTGATGCATAGGAGAAATCTAGTGGAATTGAACAAAGAACCCGTATATCCTGTCTAAGTCATTTCTTCAGAATCCTTACAGGCGTGAAGTTTGCGCCAGAGAAGTACCAGTTTATGCACTTCACATGAGCAAAGAAGCGACGCAACCTGGAAAGAACTGTCAGAATTCAAGGACATTTGACGTTTCCACAGTCCTCCCTTCGAGTCCTTGGCATATACTTCGACCTTAAGCTCCAATGGGGCTCTCACGTAAAGCATATCCAACAAAAGTCACACACCCAAGTACAGTTAACAAGTAGATTGACGTAATCAACTTGGGGTAAAACATTCAAGAAGTCAAAGCCTTTGTACAGCCCGATACTGAGACCAGCCCTGACTTACGGATGTTCAATATGAGCTGCAGCTGGGCCAGCGGGTAAAATACCAGAAAGGATAGTCAAACCATTGCAAAGTATGCAAAGAAATATTTCAAGCTTGTTATAGGGGCAAATAATTGCACCAGCAATGGTGTCGAAATAATCCTACGCAGTAATTTAATCACAAGCTTGTTGCAACGATGTGGGTGGCTCTTAGATAATTCCTATTCCTCTATACCAAAGAAGAGACCATGTACATATTCATTGATTATTTTCCTTTACGCCATACCTGATTAAGCAGCCGCACCAAGTTACCCTCAACACTATGAATTACATATTTAGACCAGTAGGGCACTAGATCACGAATGCTCAATTTCCCCACCACACACCTACCTCAAACAAATGAGAGTTCAACATATCGGACTTTAGGAAGGACAACCTATCAAGTAGACGATTCTATCCGCATGTAGTAAAATATCGCAGGCCTATAGCCTGTGCAAAAATAGCCACGCCAAGAATCGAAGCCGAGATACTAAAGAGTGTCCCAAAATCTGCAGGAACGAAAAGGCGAGGCGCGGACAAAAAGAAGCGGGTAAGATAGCAGCATTCCAGGAGTGGAAAAGCGCATGGAAACTTTTCAAGGAAGAGCGACTATCTTCTCACCAGGCGTCGGCAGACCCAGAGCATTGGAAAGCAGCAAGTATCATCACCGACAAGAGAACAGGCAGAAAAAGAATCACACACAGAAAAACACCCTCTAACCTCCACCGAAACTTGAGCAGGTCCCAAAGTAGTATTGCAATACAGATGAGAAGTGAGCATATCGGCCTCAACTCTTATCTTTATAGAAGAAAGGTCCCGGGAGTGGCAAATCCAAAGTGCCAGTGTCGATGTCCGTCACAAAACGTGAAACATATGGTCATGGCTTGTCCTCAATGGGCTAAGGGAAGAGGAGAGGTGCTGCCACGGGCAAAAGATAGGTCCTTCGAAGCTATGGCGAACAGCCCGAGTGACATGAAGAGAATTACAGAGTGGATACTTAGTAACGGTTGGCTTGAACAGTTTCGGCTTGCAGAAGAAGTTGAGGTAGCGGTCAATCAAAGGATTGAGCGATCGGGAAAAGGATAGGACGGTATTCACAGTGGACGTGCAGTGCAAACTCACTTCCTGTAGGACACCTCAGAAAACCAATAGATACGAGACGGATAGTGTTGGAGGCTTTTCAGCGAGTTGGTTACCTCCCTTGTAAATATTATAGCTAGATATACCTGAACGGGCCAAATGAAATCAAATCAAACGATCTTTAAGCGGGAAAGAGGCCCACACATATGGATTCGCTTAATATGCTAGGCTAAATTAGGCTAGTGTTACTAAATGATAATATGTACAGTGCAATAAAAAGCTGTGCTATATCTTGTCCTACAGCGCGCCTCTATTTCCAAAGGTGTCCAAGGCAATGGAAGGAATGCGCCGTAGCGGAAATAATCTTATCAGTGTAATGAGGGCAGAGTGATATATCAGGCCCGCTTGCTTGAATTTTCAATATTGTGGATAAATAGATTGTTGTTGTTGATAACAATTTGATATGCAATCTTAGTAAAACCCGTTTGCCATTCCAAATAACTCTTGTGTTTAGAAACTTTTTTACGCCAGTATCCTTCCCGAATTTGTGTGAGCTCTCCCCTTCGAGTAGATTCTATCTGAAGCTCTAAATCGATTTTGGGAGCTTTTGAAAGTGGTAGCAATAGTAGACTTTCAGAATTGATTGGCTCGTCCGCTATCATAGCTGCGCAAGTCACATCAAGGGAGTGAAGTCCAGTCTTCAATGGATTTGTGGACTGATGCCATGGAAATTATACAATCTAGGCAATGACAGACTTCTTTTAATGATGAGTGAAACCCGAACTATCGTTGCCGTGGAGGCTTCTTGTGTCTCGTTCGTGTATGCAGTGAGTGGATTCCTGCCACTCCACGGAACGAGAGAGGTGGATCAAACTGATCGCTTTTTCTTTGACGATCGCTTCGTTTTTCGTTTTACTGTATCCGGGGTGCACAACCTCACTGAATTGTTTAGAGTATTTCGTAGAATTACTTGAAATGGATGGCAATCTACAGCACAAGTTATAGTGACATAGAACTCAGCCCCTTTCGTAGTTAATAAGTTGATGAAAGCCAAGGACGGACACCGATTCTCGCATACTTACCTGGAAATGGTCTGACTGTTTTCGCTTCTAAAGCTTCCATATATGTTGTGCCGACTGGCATGAAATTTTTAATATTTTCATCATTCAAAATTTTAGTCGTTCCACCCGTGATTAATTTCAAGCACTTCGCCCGATAACACAATGAAGGCTTCTCATTGTGACTTTGTGATAATGTCGTCACAAACTTCGTAATAGCTGCGGTTTTGACAGTCACCTTTCGGAGACAAGTGAAGGTTCTCGTCTCTTTAATACTGCCAGCCGCACTGACGAGGAGGGGGGAAAGAAAAGAAAGGAGTATAACAGAGCTTGAAATTCGCATAATTTCGTGGGTTAAGATGCAGTTCTGTGGGAGATTTTGATTAGAATAGAACCAATAAAGATGGCTGTCTACATATATTCAAAACTCAGATATCCGATCTACTATAGTGCTACATATTATTTTCAGGCAGAGTCACGTCCATCACGATTCAATAAAGGGGCATCCATCTGCCTCGAACTTTTTGTCTCGTCTCTTTATCCATGCTCACGTCCAGTGCTTCGAGCTTCGTCTTTTACGCGTTCCAATGTTTGATCCTAGAAAACGCCGTATTTGGATGTATCGAAGCTTACACCAGCTGTCTACATGACTATCCACCCGGTCTCTTCGACTTGTTTCAAACGGTTGCAACGGTCGATGGGATAAGATGAGGCGAAGACTTCGTGGGCAGGGGATGAAACCCGCAAATTTCTTCGCTCATTTGGTGACTGACCGGTTGCTACACCTCCTAAAATCGGCCTCTTTTGGATTAAATGAAAGGGAGGTGTCGTGAAGACCTTGGCTTCCCTGATTGTCTAGTAAACTGGGGGTTCGTATGGGGTAAATTCATATTTATCTTATCAACTGTTTTTTTTCTGGTAGTTTACCTCTATCTAGCACGGGTCGGGGCCGTACGTGCCAGCTACACTTAATGGTTAAGGACGACAGAAATTAATGCTATAGTAGCTGAGCTACACTTCCGCATATACATAGAGAAAGGGCTCGAAGAACTAGTTGTAGAAGGCTTTATATTTTTTATCCCGAAGTCAAGAAAACGCAAAACTACCGCGTAAATTGGAGTTATGATAGCTTGAACTGATAATTGAGTTATTATTGCCCCTCCAAGCTTTAGAGATAGAGGGAGAGTTGTGTGTGTATTGCACTACTTAAGTTAAAGACTATCTAGTCAGTTGAGAATTATTAAACTTTTACTTTATGGGGTATTGATTTATTTATAAGATTTAACGTCGTGCCCTGTTGTGATCAGATCCACTTACAGATCACACAAATTGAAATTGCTAGCATTGAGCAAGTAATACCGACAGGACAAGCGGAGGGCAAGACTGAACACCTGCACGCGGAGTTCTATACGAGCCTGGGAGTAAAATATTCTCTCAGAGCCTGGTTCAGTCAAATTTTGGCAAGGAGTTTTTACAAATTGAGCTTTGTACGTCTCAAGTTTTCGGTTGCGAGAGTACGGGCGACACTTTAAACGCTGCCTTGGTTGGATGGTGCGGTGGTACATTGTCTTGGCCAATCCACCTAGAAAGGTCTGGATAGCTTGGACACATAACCCACTCGAGACAGTAGATCGCTGGTTCAAACCCGGCAAAACACAACCACATTTCTCGCGGCGTTGGTATGCATGGAAGACGAAGGCATGTTTGGATAACTAAAGGTTTTGAAATTCCCTTTGGTGGGTACTTACAGAGGAGGGTCGATCATTTGTGTAAGCAAGCATTCCTCTTTATTTAGCATCAGATTTTAATTGCGTATGCAGCTATCTAGCTATGACACAATATCAAAGAAAAGTACACGATAGATGACTCAATATTAAATCAGAGCACTCATGCCATGGATTTCATTTGCAAGTACCACTGCGAAGTTATGGTGGCTTTTTCTTCACCCCAAGTCAACCCTCATCCGTGAATACCCACCCAGGGGAACGTCTCAAAAACCCTCAGTTATCCAGACATGCCTCCGTCATCTTTCAACTTTTCTCCGCGCGAAATGTAGTCTTAGGTGTCTCCTTCCCAAGGTAAGCAGGTGCCCAGTCTACTCAGACTGTACTAGAGAACACCACCAGGAGGCGGACCACGGCACCTTCCATCGTCGGCTTGTTTTTATAGTGTCAGCTGCGCTCTCGCTAGCGAAGTCTTGGTGCGCACAAAGCCCAATTCGTAAAACTCTTGCCAAAATTCAAAATTCCACGCCCCTCGAGGTTATATCCTACCTTTACACCATCTTATGAACTTTTCCTAATCCCTCTCCAGTCCATCCCAAAGAACTGTCCCCCAGATTTGTGTGCTACGCTTTGTTTCCTCTGTCGGATGTGAATATCGGCGGGGCGTGCATTTAGTGACAAGCTGATGATAGAGAGGTGTAGTTATTGAAAGGAGGTACTAAGTCGTACCTGTGAACTTGATGAGGTGTTGGTGGGTATCGATCTCGTTGAGTGGGAGAAATTGATTTAGTGGAGTGTTTTGAATCATTGTCTCGTGGGTCAACTTATTGGGTATCGCGCAACTTGACGGAAGTTGGTTCTGGGAGAACACTTCACTCCCAGGTTCGTATAGGACACCGCATAGAAGTCTTCATCCATTGCCCTCCAAGCGATCTGACTATGTGGCACAAAGAAGGCTGTAGTACTATGAAAGGCTCTAATCTGGGCCCCTGGTACTTAATGCTTCCTGATGTAGCCTCGTGATAATATGGGCAACAGCCTTGTGCTAGTGTATCGTACCGATTAGAGATTTCGATGCTACCGCACCAAGGTACGTCTGTAATCAATCACTATGCCAATTGAGCTCTCAGGTAACTGGAAAATACTGCAGCAAACTATTAAGCATCCCTCATCGGCTACTTCATCGAGTAAAAGAACAACCCCATTTGTGGAGAAGCAGGATAACCCGACTGCCAAACGTCGGCGGAAAGACGGTTCCATGGCCACATCATGCACGCCTAGTACGCGAAAGAAAAGCCTCAATAAATATAACACAGAATACGTCGATACCAAAGTAAAGGCTAGCCCAGGAGCTATATCTGATCCGGCATCATCAAGTAGCGCTCCTCCAACCGTGTGGGCCGAAGATAACGAAGTTTCGACAAAGGATCTCTTTAGAGCTTATGGTACGGAACCCATGGAAGCTTTTACTACATCAGATACAATCAACTGTGGACTAGTTTCAAATGTCGAAATTGGAAAGTACTTGGGGATAGATTGTGAAATGGTCGGCGTAGGCAGTAATTCTCGTTCAGTCTTGGCGCGAGTGAGCATCGTTAATTTTCACGGCATCTTAGTCTATGACTCATACGTGAAGCCCAACGAATACGTTACCGATTGGAGAACGAAGGTCAGCGGTATTTCCTCCAGGGAAATGATAGCTGCCAGGAGCTTCAATGTGGTCCAGCAAGAGATAGCCACACTGCTTAAAAACAGGATCATTGTCGGGCATTCTGTGCACAACGATTTAGCTGTGATGCAGCTTAGCCACTCAAAGCACAATATCAGGGATACTTCAAAATTTACAGTGTTCCGAAAATACACCAACGGCAGAACACCAAGTCTTAAGTTGCTAGCTAGAGAGATACTTGGGCTCGAAATACAGAATGGATCGCATTCGAGTATCGAAGATGCTCGTGCCACCATGCTTATTTTCCGGAGATACAAGAACGAGTTTGATACTGCACACATAAAATCACATTCCAAGAGTCAAACTTCAAAAACTGGCTCCAATTCCAGAAATAAATCTAAAAGTTCCAAGCGGTAGCCGGATTTACTATGAAGATTGGATATGAATGACTGAGCCAGCTTACCTAATATTAAGGGAATCAATTGGAATCAAACAAGGAAATCTGTTGTGTCAACAAGAGTTGAAGGTAGAAAGATCTCGGTCTACTTTATCAGAACTTTTTAGACCCCAACGCCCGTAATTAGAGTGCACACCTTGCGAAATTGCGTGCCATATTATCGGGGGATGCCTTCCATTAATTCCATGGCCCCCTCTCGACCAACAGTAATAATCACGTCACCCAAGGTCTTTGTTGCGAACCCGGCTTCACAGTAGACAAAGTAATACTAATTATCACAGTCAGAATTTACCTCTTCCTATCAAGCTGTGCTGTTGATCAAGTGTACTAGGAATATTACGGGAATAACTCACAATCCATTTTTTGCGAAATACTTCTATCTCTCTCTCTCCCATTTCCTTGTGGTCTCTCATGAGGGCGGGTTTAATTTTTGATTCGAAATTTAATATAAATTCCTCTTTCCACAAGCGCAGAGTCTTTGCGTAATGACCTCCGATGTTCTCGATACGTTCGACTATCAAAGTCCCGTCGGAACCTTTGCTGATGGCTTGAACAAGTTTGCAAATTGATGGAAGATGGCCGCCGGGAAAAATGTATTTTCGGATAAAGTCTTCACCTTTTGCGTATGCTTCGTATCTTCCTTCCGACATTGTAATACACTGGAAAACGGCTATGCCATCTTTCTTTAGCACTTGGTGTATGCACCCAAAGTATGTTTCCAGATACTCTCGTCCGACTGCTTCCAACATTTCAATGGAGACTATCTTATCGAATAGCTGGTTTAGCTTTGGAAGTTCTCGATAGTCCATTAGCAGAACTTCAATTTTATCCTGCAAGCTGGCAGCTGCAATTCTCTGGTCAGCGAGTGATTTTTGTTCGGCTGACAAAGTCAGTGATGTTACGCGACATCCCGTTGATCTAACTGCTTCGATGGCGAAAGATCCCCAGCCGGTACCAATTTCGAGAACGTGATCTGTTGCTTTAATTTTTGCGCCATCAATGAAACGATGGAGTTTTGTCATCTGTGCTTCCTCCAAGGTTTCTAGGTTATCGGCGTCTGCGTGTGCGTGTGCTGACCGCCAAATTGGACAGGAATATGTCATATCTGGTGAAAGAAACGCTGAGAACATATCATTGCTGATGTCGTAGTGTGCAACGGCATTGAGGAGTGAGTTGGCTAGCGTATTGGTTCCTCGGGCTAGTCCTGTGATAGTGGTAGTTAGGGAAGAAGTTAAAGTTGTCGCGTTTGCTAGTTGATTCCGGTTGTAGATAAAAATCTCCTCACAGTCAGCATCTTTTCATGCCCGAAAAATGATTAATTATTCTCACTTCAAAGAAGATGGTTAGATCTTCGCACTCTACATCACCTAACATAAATGCTTCAGCGAATCCCATATCTCCAAAGAGAAAGAGACGGACCCAGAAGGACTCTTTTTTGACAATGAGCTTGGCCGTAAGCAGGCTCGGACTTTTGGTATGGGCATCATGTAGGCCATTGACGAGCTTTGGGTTTTCCTGTGCCGATTTCTGTCCATAGGTATTGGTCTCACCCGTCGTTTCATTCTCAACAACAACTTGACCAACCTCAATACGCGAAAGAAGAGTAGTCACTGCAACCTTGGAGATGAAGAGCAGAGGACCCCAAGAAACATTCGCTATAGCACCTCTAAGTCGTTCAGCTCCATGTATCAATGGTTTAGAAACTACTGCGGGCATGAAAGAGGTCATAGTGAAGTCTGACAAAAGTTGCAATATTCAAGGTTCATGTGAATGGTACTTAGCCCTTAGCTTTACAGCAGGATGCTGACCCCTTGATAATGTTTGCGGACTGGCGTAGCTGGCGACGCCGGACTGTGCTAGATTCTACAAACATTCTAATTAGATAAGAAGAGATGTGCTAGGGGATAGCCGGTACAGGGACAACCGTTGAGGATAATGTGCCACCGTTAAACGATCAGCTAGAAAAGCTGGTAATGCCAGCTACTTGCCGCTCGCTTCAGAGGGAGATCGCCCTGGAAAAGCTGATCCTCTGGACTTTGACAGGCTGGTTGTCGCTGGAAGCTTGCGTGATGCACAGCAAGCCCAGCGGCCTGCCCTTCGCTCAAACCCTACCCGTGTCAAATCCCTTCCATGCGCCGACTGCGTAGTTCATGATGTAGAGACCGCCCTGTGCATTTCTTTGTCTTTTCCCCAGACCCGACTGAGACTCATCACCTTCACATAATCTACAGGGCTCATGATAGGCGACGTTGGATGAGCTTTCCGGATCCACACTCTCGCCTAGCGCTAACCAGAGAAGCTCAAGCTCGCAACGGGGAGGTTTTCAGATTATTCGCCCCTGATCCGCAGCTAGCGGCAATCTGATAACGTTGACGTAGAATTTGCCGTTGGCTGAGCGTCCGCAGATCAGGTACCGCTGGCCCTGTCGGCCACTACCTCGATTGATTCGATTAGCCTGGTCTACGCTCCAGCGAATCACAGATTATTGTTCGAGTGTGTTTGTAGCATCGAGACACCTCGGTAACTACATTATCAAATTTGGTCTACCTACATACCCATACAGCATTCCGTCGTTTTGAGGTCAGGCTGCAAGCCTATCAATCATCTAGGCACTAAATTACTGCTGCGAAATATGAATTAACTTAGTTTTTTGCGAATTTCTTTACAAGTCTTCTTACAGCAGCAAGTTGGCATACTTGATCATGATCGACTCTCAGAGATTCGAAAATGGCGAATCGCAGAATTGGCCAACCTGTTCAGAGATGTGGATCGTGTATGCTCAGCGACCATATGTAAATCTCAGAGCTTGAGTCAAGATACCTGATGACCTTCTACACGCATCGCAATCAATTATTTAGCATGTTCGTAGTGTTGAGTTTGAGGTGTGTTGTCTGTAGATAGAATACCGAATAACAAATGAGGTTCCGTAGAAAACGAGGCTGGACTCTTCGTTTAATTACTGAACTGATTAGCTCTTAACCATGGGGAATATATCAGAGTCTTTCGTAACGAATTCGAATCGTGATATTGTAAAAGATGTGACGCTGGTCACAGACTAGCCCAATGTGCTAGATTTCCAAAGACTCAAGTAACACGATAAACACCAAAACAATTCCGTGTGCGGCGACACTCTCTGAAAACCTGCGAATTAGGTCGTAGGACGCTATGGCAGACCATCGCAGGTGAGCTTGATGGAAAATTTAACATGACTCAAGAGCAATTTTCCATCGAATGATGAGCAAAAATATTCGACTTTTTTAGCCTCAGAGTCTGATTGTGTATACAGCTATCTAGCTATGACACAATAGTAGAGAAAGGGCAATAACTGATGACTCAATTGCAAATTAGAGCACTCATGCTTCGGATTTCATTTGCAAGTACTACTGCAAGGTTACGACGGCTATTCTTTAACCCCAAATCGACCCTCATACGCGAATACCCACCCAGGGTAACATCTCAAAAACCCGACTTGTTAAGACCTGTCTCTATCATCCATTTACTTATCTCCATTTGAAACGTAGTCCGAATAGTATCTTTCCCGAGTGGGATAGGTGCCTAAGCTACTCGAACCATACCAGAGAACACCACCAGGAGACGAACCACGGCGCCATCCGTCGTTTGCTTGTATTTATTGAGTCAGCTGCACTCTCGCAAGCAAATTCTTGGCGCGCACAAATTTCAATTCGTACAACTGCTTGCCAAAATTCAAAGTCTCACGCCTATCGAGATTGTGTCCACTTACTACATTATCTAGTAACTTGTCCTCATTTTTCACCCCCATTTCAAAGAGCTGTCTCCCAGGTTGATGTTCAGCATTTTATTTTCTCCGTCGGTTATAAATATCGGCGTCTGCGTATATTTGATCGCCAGCTGAGGCTAGAGAATAGTCGATGATATGAGTGGTCATTGAAAAGAAGATGTACTGGGTCGTACTTGAAGACTTGATGAGGTGTTGGAGGACATCGATCCTGTCAGGAGGGATAAAATGATTTCGTAGAGAGCCTTGGATCATTGCCTTGTGAGCCAACCTCTTCGGAATTGCGAAACTTGGATGAAGTTGGGTCATAGAGACTGTCTTTCTCCCAAATATCCGACTTAACACCCCGGGCGAGGGAATGTGATCTAGCGACCTCTTGCTTAGCGAGAGACCTAGATTAGTTGCCTTGGTTATGTAAAATGCTGGTGTTTGTGGGGCATAGGCTAGAACCCTGTCCGCTACCTCCAGATGCCGGCGATACAGGCGCTATTCGTATTCGTATCCTCACAAAAACTTCATTCTCTTGAAAATCTCTCACCGAATTTAATGATTCATGCCATTCGGTAAATCGAATGCTGTATGTCTCAAGGAGTATGGTTCAGTAACAGGGGAGTCTAAGGATGTGAGTCTCAACGCCTAAACTAGCCAAGCTGTTTGAGGATTAAATAAACAAGCACGAGACACAGAACAAATGAAATATGCTTAATCCTCTCATGAAGGGCCGTATAATGATTATGTTTTAGACAAGTCATAATGTTATTTCAGGAGATCTAAGCCGGCCTATTTATGAGCGTGGCATCTACCAAAGTTTATCGCCATTTTAAAATTACTTTACAACTGTAGCTCAACATCATATCACATGAGACGTTCTATCTTTACCTTTTTGTCGACCCATCTACTTGCTGTGCTTATTCTTGTTTCCCGTGGTGAAGTTGCTGCTCGGGAGTATCACTGCGATAAACAGATATCCATCGAAATTAAGTATATCAGAAAATCCCTTGAAACCATCTATAGGGTACATGAAAAGGTTCTATCAGAATGTTTAAACAATACTGCTTGCGAAAACGTTGTTCGATATTATGGGTCCTTCGTTAATCTTTACAACGGCCATGATTTTAATGTGGACAAGACTAGACGCAATCTCTTCAAGACTAGTGTACCAGCAAAATTCAGACATAGATTCAAAGGCAGTAGGTCTTTCGCTTTATCCCTACAGGCTGCACTAAAGTAGATCGAGGTAATGACTATTATAGGTCCTTATTCGGTTGTTGCAAGTTGCAAAATGGGGTCTGAATGCACATTTTTGGGTATTGTCTACAAAGTTCCATCGGAGACAAGTAAAATTGTATACAATGATGTAAAATGCAGTGATATAAAGATATATCCGCTTGATATTCACTTTCCTCTGCGATTGCCCCGAACTTCTAGCAAACGGTTTTAAAGTAGGAACCTTTCGGAGATATAAACAATCAACAATACATAAAACGTGGCGAAATCCACGAGACAGCTTAACGCGCGGTAGCTTTGGTCAAAAGTTTCTAAACGAAAAACTATCTACTCTGAGCTCTGCTATTCCGAAAAAGCCATTGGTCTATGCTGTGGAAATCCTGATAGTTACGGTTTGACCTTTGTTTGAGCTTAGGAGGAAATCTAAACATTTGATTGGGATTAACTACGACAAGACTGGAAGGAGAGGGATGGACAAAGGTAGATGAAATGGCGTTGCTATCCACGAGGTCGAAGCAACATCATAGCGTAATGGCTCCTGATAATACTTGGCTCGGTGACAAGTATTAGGCTTAAGGGAAAGTTATGAGAAGGTTCGCGAGGTAGAACAAACGTTTTCAGTATCTGTTATTAGTAGCTAGAGATGTCTATTCCCTTCACATATTCAAATAAATCGATTTATTCATCACCAACTCGGTTTCCGTCACACTGATAAATAAGAATGACATTGAATCATGTAGACCACAATCAATTGAACCAAATTTTCGGGTATGCAAGTATTGTGATTATGAGAGGAATTGCATACTTACAGTAGCTTTATTAATATGACGTGTCTGACACTGTCATGGAGTAGGCGACAATATGCGTTTGCTTAATTAGAATCTTCTCCAGATGAATGCTATCTGCGTGTAACGGCTAGTGAGCCGGTAATTACCCTGTGGCACATGATGTTAATCACGTGCTTCACAACTTTACGAAACCACTATTCTATCATAGATTAATCTGGACATCACTAGAAATTTCTAGCAACTAGTAGTAAGACTGCGAACCAGCCTCAGGGGAAAATACTAGAAACTGGTATTAGTCAAGAATATTCTAGATAGAATAGTAAGCGAATAAATAGTTGAAGTTGGACGTACATAGATAGCCATAGAGAAAATAATAGACAACCTTCGTATATTTGATCGCCCCAGCATCTATACCTCGAACCGTGACACTGCATGACGGAGAAGACTCCTATTTATACCTATGGCTCATCTATCTACTTGCTAGCAGTACATTTCATCTTGTGACACTGGATTTTCTATTATATGCTATAGAATAGTCTACATTCTTGTCCATATCATCCACATGAAACTATCTATAATGTCATTACACCAACGACATCGTGTATAGATCTCTATACCGTCTAATACAGCTTATCTAGTTGGCTGAGAGAGCTCACATCATAACAGCAAGCGGGTAATTTCTGAGACAAAATCTCAGCTATTGAAACATAGTCCGCTGTTTAGTTCATGGAACTTATCGGTAAAGTTAAACTTTTGCGACCGTGATGGATAAAAGAATGTGAACTCTGTTACCTGTTACGGGGAGAGAGAGTTTACGAGGTAGAAGTCACGGGCCAAGAAGTCAACAAGATACGTAAGATGGTATGTGTACAAGAGAGGATATGGACACGATAATGAAATGTAGCAAAACGTCGCCCGCTTTCTGAAGCCGTGAACGAGGACTACTCTAAGGGTCTCCTTGGACTAGCTCGACGCTAGTGTCAATAATAACACCAGTCCTCTCCACACCTGGAGGATTTTAACTGAGGCCTTGGTGGGCGACTGGATGAGGCCTCCAGTGAAGAAAACGACCCCTGGATGAGATGAGGAGATGCTGAGATAAGCCTAAGCTGGGAATGAGTAGAAGGAAAAAGTTACATAAGGCGAAGGTGTCAAGGGCTCGGGCGCGTAGTGGCCGAGGCTGTGGAGGAATTTGCGCTTCGGCGCGCCAAAAGACGGTTCTCTGGACGGTTGGGCTTGACATGATTCGACACATGGGTGAAGTCTGAGGTGGTCCGGTTATTTGGGTGGGACGAGGCACTTGTACTTTACGGTAGTTAACCTGATCCGGCCCGGCCCCACCCGTGCTTAAGCTCCAGTAGGAGTGCAACGGGAATTACTATACCCAGCACGTAAATGAACAAAACAAAACCTCGAGGATTTTATTTGTGACAACTAGACCCCTACCACGGCTAAGGTACACTTTCACCCTTTTATGGAGAGTCATGATAAGGACCATGATATTACCCCCCTCCCAAACCTGGACCCAGACAATTTTAAAAAGCAATAGATTGACGATGTGGGATCTCATATTAACAGAAGTGAATAACACTAGCACAGGAGGATAAAGACTACACACCTGTCAGCGGTATCATCTACAGACTTGGGGTTGAATCTCCTTTCGGCGCCAAACCCGCTCAAATTTTGCAATAGCGAAGCTGGCCCACAAGGCAACGATTCAATACTCCCTACCAGCTCAATCTTTCACTTCTAACTGGATAAGTTTTCACCGAGGCTTCATTAAATATTCAAGTACGACCTGGTAAATCCTCAAATCAACGACCACACCTCTCATCGATCTGATCTCCGTCACAGGACTAAGTGCTAGCGCTGTACACTAGCATATTAGTATAGATCCCTCCCGCAAACAATCTTCCATTAATGCCTCACTTTACATTTACATTGGAGGGCAAGACTGAAAACCTGTACGCGGTTTCCTCCACGAACATGTGAGTGAATATTCTCCCAGAGCCAAGTTCAGTCAAATTTCGCAATATCGAACAAGCTGGCCCACGAGGCAATGATTCAAAATACTCCACCACATCAATCTTTCACTCCCTACGAAATCTATTCCTACCTAAGCCTCATAAAATCTACAAGTATGACCAAGTACATCCTCATTCCAATAACCACACCTCTCGTCGACTTTCTCGGGCCTCAGTGGGTCGCCAAATACACGCCCACGCCGATATTCACAGCCGACGGAAGAAGCAAAGCGTGGTGCACAAATTTGGGACACAGTTCTTTGGGATGGACGTGAGAGGGATCAGGGCAAGTTCACGAGATGATGCAAAGGATGCATATAATCTCGGGGGACGTGAAATTTTGAATTTTGGCAATGAGCTTTTACAAATTGAACCTTGTGTGCGCCAAGACTTCGGTTTCGAGGGTTCAAGCGACACAATATACACCGCCATGGTTGGATGGTGCGGTGGTACATCGTCTTGGCCGGTCTGCCAAGTACAGTCTGAATAGCTTGGACACATATCCCACTCGAGACAGTAGATCGCTGGTTCAAATCCGGCAAAACACAACCACATTTCTCGCGGCGCTGGTATGCATGGGTAATCAAAGGTTTCGAAATTCCCTTTAGTGGGTACTTATGGAGGAGGGTCGACTGTTTGTGTAAGCGAACATACCTCATTGTGGTATTTGCAAATGAAATCTAGAGCATGAGTGTCTCTAACGTCACAAGAGTCATCCTACATGTATACATAGCACCGGCCATGTGTCATAGCTTTATGGCTGGATACCCATTAAATGATTTAAAAAAAATGCAATTACATTATTAAACCTCCCGAACCTGCCCCTAACCCACCGTGGCAATCTCTGCCCTAAGGTGGCCTCCAAACATTGTTCTACGAAAATTTAAATATGCGCAGGAGAGAAAAAATCATGGCGAATAGATCTAGGAGGTATTTCTTTACAATAGACACGAGGATGATCAGGAAAAATGAACAAGGTAATGCTCAGGATAGGTTCAACTTTGGACGGAGGTTACAAACTTTTGAGCGTTGCTCGAACCAATCCTTCGATTGCGAGAGTGCAAGCGAATTTGAAACACTGTCACGCCTAGCAGGTGCCGTGGTAAATCATCCGGCTTGGTAAGTCTAGCAGATTCTGGATAGCTCGGGCTCCTAACCCAATCGCGACGGGAGATGATGATGATGATTTTATTTATCGTGCCAGGCTTACACCCTCCATCCAATGGACATAACACGCATGGAGGACATCTAGAATACAAGTTCCTCCATTCTCCAGTAAAGCCCATCCGGTGCCTGAATTTTCCAAATACGTGCCTCACGCTAGTTACATCGGGTCGAATAGGTAGGAACGCATTCACCATGATCCTAAGACCATGTATTGAGGGAAACCTTCGTGGGAAAACCTCAATAATTCCTCCTGTACTCTTTCACGACGAGCAGCCGTACGCGACGGGAGATGATGTCATTGAACAGGACGTTTTATTCATCACGTGATATATAACCTAACACGTGCCTCTAAATGTATATAGCTTGTCACAGTCCAGCGATGGTTCCTTTTCTCCTGTGTAGACAATCTAACTCACCAGATCTAACATTGTCGATCTAGCATTTATCCCATATCACGACAGATGACTGTGGCGAATCCAGGAATTCTACAATGCACATTATTCGCGGTGATGGTGGGCATGGATAGTCAAAGGTTTCGAAACGTCCCTACGGTAGACCTCTCGCAGGAGGGCCGACTGTTTTGTGTAAGCAAAAAATCACTCGTGGTGGTATTTGAGAGTAAAATAAAGAGTAGGAGTGTCTCAATAGTCATCTAAGTCACCCAACATGCACACATAGCATTGGTCGTGTATCGGCTACATAACTGAATACACACTGAATGATTAAAGAATATTGGGCTTGTACGCAGTCATCCCCGCCGGCTTCAACGTACTTATTCGACTTTGTTCTATCTCAATTTGGTTTGGGTATATGTGTTTTCACACCCATAGGAAAAGATATATAAGATTGTTTCATGAGAGGCTAGATTGCATTTTGATACTATCCAGGTGAAGACTTTCCTCAGAAAGTGGAGGCTACAATGCTTTTGTATATCCACAGATTCACCCTCATATTTACCATGTGCGCTAGCCATTCTGGATCCAACGTGCAAAACCTGATTCATTTCATGGTTCTAGGTTGGGGCAGTTGTTTACGAATAGCAGTATTCTTTTAGCTACCAAAATACGTCGCAGCTTTGGATATATTTTACCGTGCCATACTCGCACCTGAGTTACATGAGTGCTAGCCGGCAAATACGAGCTCTTCACCTTCCAGTGGTGCCGGTGTAATCGCTCAGTTTACTCTACATACCTGAGATAGCCAAGGTAAATCGCATCCGAATCGAACTTGAAAGCAACCTCTAGCATATCTGTTATGAATGATGAGCACTGGAGATATTCTTGGGATAGACTTAGAGACAGTTGTGATATAATGCTAGAGAACTGAGTTGTAGACTTTAGAAGGGATTATTATTTGCTAAAGTATAATGGATAAAGTGTGTGATATGTGTTGGACACTTTTGGGGGCAGTGCCTGACCACCTGTCTAAATACATGAGAAGCTGGTCCGTGCACTGCTATCACTTCTCAACATCCTGATCCTCAACAGATCTCTACAACCACTACGTAGCTTACCTCAATTGTGTAGGCACAGCGACTATATTAATCCATGACCTAGACCATGCACGTCTCTACGTTATGTTAGCACGGACTAGGATTACAACAATATCTCCATTTGATAACTACTCGACAATGCCTCTCTTACCATCATTTTCTGAGTCCTCACCCTCTCTCTAACCACACATCATCTCGCCTCAACGACCAATGAAGAAGTTGCTCCAATTGGAAATAGGAGCTTGCCCCATTAATTTCCAGCCATCTCTCACTACATATTTACGACGCTACGTATACCCGCAAGGAGGAAATCAAGTCGAAAAATACAAAGCCTGGGCCATGGCTTTTGGGGGACTGTTGCTCTAATGGGATAAACAACTTGAGGGAGAACAGGCGCCTGAAATGTGGAGCGAGAGGGGTATAAGGTCCCTGAAGACCATGCTGGAACTGACATTGTCAAGTGGATTCAACTTTGGAACGTTTGTGGGCGCCAAGATCGAGGTTATGGCTAACTAGCCAGGAGGACCTCTTGCATCTATGAGTCTACGGCCACCCCCCAGTATCCTAGATAGTATGACAGAAGTTGGGCTAAGCTATCACTAGAAATCACGCTCTGTTAAGATCTGTAACATTTCAGCACGACCTTCGGGAAGGAGTTGGAAGGACGCTAGAAAGGCAGAGGGTGAATTCTCCGAGGTACTCACAAGTCTGCAGCGCCTAGCTGGCCGGTCTCTTCGAACTCATCAGAAGGGTCACTATGTCTTCGGATTTAGTCCTAATGTCGGTATAAGGAGAGCTCCGCACCCAGTGGTTTTTACGATTTTCCCGGCTGCCATACATCCGCAGATGGCCATCGTCTCGTGGGCTGGAGAGGGGAGATAATGAAGAGCAAAGGGATCCTCTTAGTGTATGATCGAATGAGGAATTCTGAGGGGCGGTACCGTTTCAGGGGAGCTGTACGAGAGACATAGGAGGAGATATACTACTGGCATAGGTATCCTTGGCCTGTAGGCAGACAGGACCCGCATGTCATACATAGTCATAGATTCAGGCAGGACAATAAAATGAACAAATAACAATACATAGGTGCTTAATATGCGGCACGCTCGGGGGATCAATTAAATAACCGACCGAATCTGAACTAGTCATAACCTCAAGACTCAAAAATGCCCCGGGCAGAATCGTGTAATCTAACGCCATTAGTTTGAGGATTGCCGACCAGAACCTAATACCAACAGTGCTCAACAGGGTCCTGAATCTTTGGATTTGGATCTTTTCAACAAAAAAAGACTTTGAGACTTGACAAAGTTTCTACTTCCACTTAAAATTACTCAAAATCCGTTGCTTGAGGTCTCTTTTCTACTAAGGTGATTTCAAATAGGATGCTATAACGAGTATTTTATAATATCTTCACTAAATTGTATCAAATACTTCCCAGCGCCAGTTTAAGTCTAAACCACAATCTTGATTCATTTCCATTTATGAATTCATCCATTTTTAGCTGCCATGTACCCAAGCTTGATTTCCCAAATTTAATTACCACTATTTTGATGAACTATTAGATACTTATACAATCAATTGTGTAGACCGTGGCCTTGTCGTTACATTATTCGTTGCATTGTTTTTCATACTTCATCACACCATAACTAATTCTAGTTGGGATGCGTTTAGTCCACTTTGCTTTGGCGTGTCTAGGTTAACAAGGGCCAATGACGTACCCTATTCAGAGAGTTGTGTTGAAATTGGCATATTTGATTTCAGCCGTATGTTGGTTTGGTGTTATCACTACTTGAAAGCTTTCACGTATCATCCTCGTGAGTCGTGATATGGATGGTCTTAGCCCAAAGTCCAGATGAGCGCAGGAAGCTTATGTACGAATATTATGTCTTATTTGTTGGGTTCTAAATTTTGAGGGTAGACGGAATTTAAAGCGGGTGGCCGCTGGCAAATTTTCTCTTCCAGCTCAAAGATCACTAACGGCATAGTTGGGATGAAGTACGTAGACAACTGAGTCTCCTGCATTGGACCCAGCCTGCCCACTTTCGTTGGTAAGACCTTGTCCTCGAATGGCCATGAGAATGTTTTCCTACATGAGTCGTTAGTAAAAAATTTGGCTGGAAAAGAGGGGATAAAAACCTTGACCATCCGCTTCATAATTTTCTTGGTCAAAGACATCTCAGCGTGATAATCATCTTCGCCAGCTAGCTCATTCTCTTTTTGTTCAAGGAACCACTCAATCAATTTATCACCTTCCACACCTTCACCACTATTCATTTCTTCTTCATTAATCTTTTGAACAAGTAGGTTAACTACACTTATATATTTATCATAAGTAACCTTTGTTTTCGCGTTTTCTACCCTAGTGGAGGATGATTTTGATGCTAGATTAGCTCCAGATTGTTCGGGGCCTACAGTATTGCTACGATGGTTAGCCACCTTGCGATCTTCAGGGTTATCTAGATCATCGATGTTCATTCCCTCTAGATCTGGGGCCTCCTCATCCTCATCAACTTCCACATCGTCTTTTTCAACGGAAATGATACTTTGTCTTAGAAGATTAAATGCCTCTACGACCATATTGGGAGTGATCTCTTCCACGCAATTTGCCTTGGCAATCGCTTCCGATAGACGAATCATAGATTCGAGCTGGCGTACAGTTATTCGGTAACTGTTGCGTCCAATTCCTCCTTGAGCATCATCACTCCGGAGCTCCAAGTACTTCTTTACTAATAGGTCTTGAGCTTCGGGAGTAAACTCAGGTTTGAAGGTCTGAGCGAAACGAATGTAGCGCTGGAGTTGCTCCGTAGTAAATTCTGGTAGAATAGCCTCATCACGGAGTTGATGAATACCTACTATGTGCTCGGCAAGATTCCTGTCAACTGACTCGTTGCACTCATCGAGTATAATAAAAAATAGATCAAATCGTGACATTATTGGAGCGGACATGTTTATGTTCGCCCGTAGAGTTGTCTTCCTATTGTAACGACCACCAACTGGATTTGCAGCGGCTAAAATTGATGTTCGGGCATTCAATGTTGCCTGGATTCCTGCTTTGGCAATGGAAATTGTCTGTTGCTCCATTGCTTCATGAATAGCAACCTGATCACTTATGTCCATCTTGTCAAATTCATCGATAGCACAGATCCCGTTATCCGCTAGCATCAGAGCACCTGCTTCGATAGTAAACTCACCTGTCTCCTCATCTTTGACCACTGCAGCCGTTAGACCAGCAGCAGAGGATGCCTTTCCAGATGTATATACAGCACGTGGAGAGAAAGAACAAATGTATTTAAGAAACTGAGATTTGGAGGTTGAGGGATCGCCAACAATACAGATGTTAATGTCTCCTCTTAGAGCCATTCCTTCAGCTGTTGTCTTGCTCAAGCCACCCATTAGTTGCAGTAAGAGACCTTTTTTCACAATTTCATGTCCGTACACCATGGGTGCCAGCGAATTTACGAGCCGTGAATAGATATGATCACTGTGAACCATTTTACGAAGGTCTTCAATTTCGGGGTGAGACATGGAAGCAAGTACAGCCTCCTGTGCCATGTCTCCGTCATCAATTTCATTGTTTGGGATATTTTGGTTAAGAGACGCCAGAATTCTAGCTGACTGACCGCTAAGGTTCTGGCTAGATGAAGACCCGGTAGTAGAAGTATCGGGAGTGACCATGCAAGCCAAAAATGCAAGTTTGTAAGTTAAGTCCCGAACACCAAGTGATTTAAGGCCGCTCACACCGTTGGCATCTCCAGTTCTGTTTTGATTATCTCGGATAGCTGTTGGCCGTACACCAGGAAGTCCAAGTTGACTGACATCAGGAACAACAATTAAAGTCCCTGTAAATATGCATTTCTCTCCAGCCTTTGCTCGGTCCACAATTTCCCCTCTAAATATGACATCTATAGTTCGGGGCATGCTACCCGTTGGTATTTCTGAGCTATTTTCTTGGACGCGAACTTTTTGCCAGTCTACAAAAGTACTTTGTCTGATATCAAGTCGCCAGCCTTGTCGGTTTCCACATGACTCATTCGGGCATTGTGTCGGCTCGGTATATCTGAAAGTTTGTTCGACGTTGGGAACAATATTCCTGCATGCTTCGCATGTGAAGGTTGCAAGTGAGAGCTCAGGTCTCACTTCTGAAGTTCTAGTGACTGTTCCAGATATGGAGAGGAGTTGTCCAATGTTTGCAGTTCTCAAATGTCTGACTCGAGAGACAAGTGGTAGATTGTAGAAGGCTAAGGCAAAGAGCTTATCTGTTTGCTGATTTGTTGTCAGGTTTCCCTGTAGGTCGGATTGCTCGGTTGATTCCGATCTACTAGCTGCTGAGGATGTTTGGTTACTTGATGACATAGGTTGCCGGTGTTCACGAAAGTATCTCGGCTCATATTTGGCTATCAGGTTGTGGAGGCCCTTGGTTAGAAAGGGAAGAAATCGGTAATACTCTTCGACGATACCCTCAGCAAGGGCACCACCTCTGTATTCCAAGATATGGGTGTAATCAACATAGAGAGTAGATAGACTGTAGGTCTTTAGTCCATGAATTTGGGCAATGTAATATTTATCTGTCGTAACCACACTAGAAGATGGTATGCTCGAAGATGAGGTGTCTTCTACGAATCTGTAAGCGCATTAATTGAGGTTCATCACTGAGTGGTTGGTAGTCTCACGTCTCGAGGAATTCCTCAAAGTTTATTTGCACGTATTGACCAATTGTATCCTCGATCTTCGGTACTGTTCGGTCTTTTCGCCGTGGCCGAGCTTTGCCATTGGGTATTTGATCGTCTGCCAGCCCTTCATCGTCGCTCAGCGGTGCAATGCTCTCACTAGGCAGGCCCAGCGGTCGTGCTCTTGGGGTTCCAGCTCGACTGACGTTTTGTGCATCTGATTCGTAAAAGCTGGACATCCTGTGATGAGTTTTAGGTGGGGGAATTAGACCATGAGCAGAGCGCGCTATATAATTGTTTGAGTTGGATTGGGGAGCCTAGCAAGACGTGCACTCGCCAGGCGCGTGAAATGCAATGATAAACACACCAGACGCGTCCGGGGGAAGAAGACCCATTACTTATTAGTGGTGTCCCCTGCTAACCGCCAGATTCCACCGTATAGTCTGCAAGGCCGAGATTGGGTATCACCTTTTCAACTTTGAGCTGAGTTATTCCCCCTCCGTCAAAGATACGATTCCGACAACACATAAGACGACCAAGACGATGATAATGATGCTGGGAAAGAAGAAAGATAATGCGGTACCAAACGCTACAACGGTAGTCAGAGAAGCCCTCGCTATATCACAACATGTGCTACCCACCGGCGGGCGAACAAAAAGCCCACGAAAGTAAAGTAAAAGAGCCTTCCGCCCTCAAGAAAAGCAGATTTCGACTCTTCAATATCTTCCCTTCTAACCCTAAATTCCGCATCTACAAGCCAGGAAGTCATCTTAAATATAGTATTTACTTGACAACCCTACGCCCGTACCGACTTTTGGATGCCAGGCTAGGCTCCTTCGCGGCAGTCATTCTCGACTAAGACTTTTTTGATATCTTTTCACGACCTTCGATTTGTTCTGCGGCATGAACCAGGGGAGGAGTAAGGAAGAGGCTAGGAAGGTTGAGAGACACTCTTAGGTATACACAAGTCTGCTGCGTCCGCCTGGCCGGCCTCTTCGTCACAGGAGAGCCCCGCACCCAGTGGTTTTTGAGACTTTTCCCAGCAGCTACACACCCGCAAATGGCCATTGTTTCGTTGGCTGGAGAGAGGAAATAATGACGGGATAACGGCTCCTTTTAGTGTTTACTCGAATGAGGACCTGCGGGGGTATTGCTGCTGGAGAGAAGTTGTAAAGGAGACGCAGGAGGGAGTTCACTGCCTGAGACATAAATATTCTTGGCTTGTATGCAGAAAGGACCTACGTGCCCTTACATAGCCATAGAATTAATAGGACAATAAACACAAACAAAGCAAAACAAGAAGAATCCACTACCTACACGTGGTATATATATACCTACATGTGTGTTTGGGTCATTTGTACCACATGAGTCACAGCATAGTTAGCAACTTGGGCTCCTCCCTGACGCAGGACATACCTTGCACGTTGCTCTTATTCCATTACGAGAGAAGATCTCCGACTAAACGCCCATGATGGATAGCAACTCAGCTCAGTAGGTACCCGAAAGATTCAGCCAACGTTTCCACTGAGCCTTCATAAAATATTAAAAAAATTAAAGACGACAGCAATGGGAACTGTGTGCGCGGGGAACATTCTCAAAAACAGTTAGTCCCTGCCACCCGAGGTACGCAAATTCTTCTACATCTCCCGTCTCTGTGACAGTAAGGGTCAGCTTGATCCGATCCTCGTCGCCATATCGGGAGCTGGGTGTGCTCCGGGAACTCATCGGATGGCTTCTCTTTCATGACCAAGATTGAAGGGTCTGACCCACCATCAAGTGTGATTGTGATTAGCTTCATAATAATGGAGACAGGGGATTGTGTAGGAATACTCTCGCATACAGCACTCTAATCTGCTTGGAGTAAACTTAACCCTGAAACTGATCAGGAAGGAGCTTTGTATTAGTCATGGATTAGTCATAAAAGGAAAGGTGGTCAGAGCTGAGATGGAAAACTATTCTGGCGAGTAGTTCCTTTGGGAGAGGAGTCAGTAGATAGAGGTGGTTGCGATATATATACTTAACATAATATATTTGTTAATACGCCCCAAAGAAAATCTACAGTAGCCGTCGCTCTAATATTGTAAAACAACGGATTGTGCAGAGAAGTGAAGAGAATATAGATAGATATAATTTTATTCGTGAGGGGCACACGCCCAGTGCTCATTGAGCTTGGCACAGAGAATGCAAGTCCTTCCCCAACGACCATATACGAAGATAACTTAATTTTACATTTGTCCACTCATGTAGTGGGTGCATTCGCAGATACCACTCGAGACCCTTCCCTCAACCGTGAATATCCACAAAATGGAAATGAGGAAAACTCTTTGGCTGCACTAAGGTTCCTTTGCCATCTTGTACATAGCTACCGCGTGTTAGAGGTTTATGGAAAACAAGCCATCTATTTAAACAAGCAAATTTTGGTAGCATATCATCTGATTTTAGCAGTCCTTCATAGTCATAGACTCAGTAGGGACTTAAATTTAATTCTATTCCACACAGGCTTACGGCCTCGAAGACTTAGAATTAGACTTATCTGATTCCATTTCCAAGGATTCTTCACGTGTCATCATTAGATAGTCAAGCTTAGGATTGACTTACGTAAGGCATGTCAAATACTCAGTTTTGTAGCTCATCTAATTCTATAGTTGTACTGAATATTATTCTATAGTTTTGGATTCACCTGTGCGAAAAGCTATCCTGATCAATCCGGTCGCACCATGCGAGGTATGGCCTTACAATACTCCCTTTCTCGAGCGAGGTGTGTGTCCAGGCTTTCCAAACTGTAACATGGGGAAATGGTGATTTGGAAGTGGACCACAACTTCCATTTCTACCTTTTTTTAAAGTGTGGGTAGCACTATCTAAAATCGTACTGTTAGCTTCGAAGAGTATCCCAGAATCGAAAAATATCAGTCATGATGAATATATGGGGTACAGAGATGAGACAGATGATGGTCTAATAGCACTTATCGTTGGAAGGTTTGGTTGTTCGGTTTTCTGTTATTGCTGCGTTGGGATACACCTTGTCGATCCTACTATGCCCGATAATGAGTAGTCCCGACCGACTCCTCTGGTTTAGTCTATTAACGTGCTAGGCCATTGGGGATCTCAGCACTTCCTTAGGAGCTTAAACACGGGATGGACCAGGCTAGGTCTAGTCAGTCACACGACCTACACAAATCTCTTTCAAAATAAACGGCATAGTTATTCTCCTTCTGCATCCATGTGTTGAGTCATGTCAAATCCGTTCATTCTGAAAACCTGACATTGTCGTGCCAAAATGCATCTCGCTCTGAATCAATCAACACGCGCCTGACCCCTAGAAATTTACTTGAATTCCCTTCCTCAGCCCTAGTTTTGCCACTAACAAGCACATCTTAGCCTCATACAGTCATATACTGAGGCCTCGGCAGTTTTCCTTTCCATGAGAGTCTATATTATAACATATTGTTCCATCCACTAATCACTCCATTGTATATTCTCGATAGCTTCCAGTTTTTCACCGTCCTCACATATCAAGCAGTCGTATATGCCAATTAGAGCTTACGACCGAAGCAGTGCTATGCAGGTTTTTTTTAGATAGGTTGGCTGTCATGCCGATGAAATGATTTGAATTAATCATTTGTTGGCTTGTTGGGGTCCATGGCCGGGTGTTACGGGCTGCGCCTATCTTCTAGCGACTGTCGCACGGACACTTATCATTATTACGTCATTAGCCTTGCTATCTAAAGAGATGTCCAACTTGGCCATACATACACAGGGTTGCAACAAATATGGAAACAAGATATTGTTGCAGCAAGTCTCATATGGAATCATGGGCCGACACGACCCAAATTCGCTATGACAAGCCCACTCGGAATATCAAGGATATAGTGTAGTAGAACAGATAGTGAGGTTAGCGCATTGGGAGTTGGGACACCCTAAGTAGCCTCCCCTCGGTGGACAGTTCCGAGATATATGTAGAAAATAGACGGTAATCGGCCACCATTCCTTTACTATATTGTTTTGTTGATCGCCCATCACACCGGGGTGTGGAAGCGTTTGGCGATTGGAAAGGGTTACAAGTTTACCCGTGGCTTTGATTAAGTTTTGATTTTCGGGATTTTGGTGTGCATTTGCGCTTCGTGAGATGATAGTGAAAAGGAAGGCAAAGTGAGGTCATCTTTTTACAATTCTTCGGGAATATCCAAAAGCTTCAAAAGTTTTCGATAATCTGCTATGTGAATTGGGCATGAGAATGATGGGAGACCAGGATGTTTGATATGACGAAACCTCTGTAGTGCGGGTTACCGACCACTGACTAGTTAGTAAAATACCTTCTGGCCACCCCTTTGCTACTTATATTTATAATTCAGACTTTGATGCGATTGATCCTCAACGTTCCATTCACTTTGAAGTTCTGCGCTCGTGGAGAACATCACCAATGGGTATTCAGCTATCGGCCTGCAATGGGATATAAATTTGCCCAAGGTGTGAGCCCCTTCATCCCTACCCATGCAAAAGTGCCACTTTCTTACGACTACTTATTCGATCACATCCTAATAAGGACTACAAACTTCATTTTAGATCATCTTCCAGCATACAAGAAGATGAACGTTTGAGGTTGATTTATGACGGGAGAAATGGCAAGACTAACGTAGAATAGATCTCCTAATGCCGACACGGGGTATATTTGCAAACGTTGCTATTCCTCCAAGGCGTTTCGACAGGATAGCTAGTCAGACCTTGTGGATTTGAGAAAACTAACGCATTTTTGCATGAGCTTTGCAACCTACATTCACCCCGGCCGTCTGCTCACCTCTCATACGCGAATCGAACAGAAGTAGAAATGAGACATGTACATACACCCAGGTGCAAACAGGGGATAAATGCCTAATAACTGTAATCAGTGCTTCCTGCGGGCCTTCGGCGCCATCTGAAGGGTTTTGTGAGTCGAAATTGAGCACGGAACCATCTGGTGGCGCTTCTATTTTGAATGTTTCTTCGATACCCCTTTGTACCCAACACGCCATATGAAAGTAGGACTCAGCTGCCCTGAAGTAGAAACTCCCTGAATAAATTTTTGATAATATTAGATGATCACTATTATCACTTGAGACGCTAAAAGGAGTAGGAGACGAATTGAAGCGGCTCCCCTAGCAACACACGAGGCTGCGGCACGCCAAATTGCAATGGGAAATAACCGGGCATATTGATACTTCATCTAAAAAGTCTAGGACAACCTTTGTAACTTGTACAGGAGGAGCAAGCAGAGTTGTGTGCCGTAACATTGAGGATTATAGAAACAGGGAGGGTTAGCATCCGATAGAATTAAATCGAGGAGACTGCTCATTCTTCCCAAAGTAAGCAAAGGTGGGAAGCCATCAAAAGCATGTAGATGTATCCGAGTTCGTAATGTACTTGAAACAAATGAATGGGGATTTCGATATGAAAATACTTTTTGTGACTAGGAATTTGGAAGTCAGTAATAAATGCGTCGTCGTTAAGTAATTGAATACTCCAAGGATTAAGTCAATCTACAATGTCTGGCTAGCCGTACTCCAAGTTGTGATAGAAGGGTAAATGAAAGCTTAGACTTAGCCTTCATGTTGGTAGGAGACATGCTCCGCCTTCAATGAATTTTGCCACTCGTCATAATAACTAAAAACCCAGATGTGGCGGACGCCTGGTTCTTTGGGAAGGGCGAATAGTGAAGAGCCAAATGGTCCCCGTGTGTATGATGAATTGAAGGTCTTTGCCGGGCGCTGCTGTTGGATGAGAGCTGTTGCGGAGGTACATGGTGTGACAGTTTGCGCGCGGCGTGGTTGGGACCAGCCTATCGTGGAAAGTTTGAACGTGATAAGGGAAAATCAAAGTTTAGTCAAAGCCCGTACTTTTCCGATACGAACCATGTCAGAATCAAAGATGCAGAGGTAGGAATGGCGAGTCTCGAAGTGTACAAGCAGTATGAGGATCAGGTGCCGAGACAGAAAGTTCAAGGCAGATGGATGCTCTTCGATTGACTCATGAAAGCTAGCACGCTGTTTTAAACTACCACCCAGCACTATGACAATGCCGGCCCTCTGCATTCTCATATAGATGAGGGTGCCATCATCTTCATAGCTTCAATATTCAAACTCACCTAAATTACTGTGGCTCAACACAGGACAATATGCAACTCTCGAGCTCGGTCATCCTACTGTCTCTTCTTTTCCCCTCCTTCTCACAAGCTATGCTTCAAGCGGGTCAGAGTGGCTACTATTGTGGCAAGAGTGTTCTCTTTTCATCAGCGAATCTCGAATCAAAGAAGCGTGCTCTAAATCAAGTGAGCATGAGTAGTCCAAAAAACGCATGTACTCAAGACCGTTGTGTGGTCAAGGTAACGGGAAATACACCAAAGCTCACACCTGTTAACAAACAAATGAGCGAAGTCCTGGATGTCGGGACAACTTATATGAAACCTTTAAAGGCAATTGGAGGAACCCAGTCAGTAGGTAAGCAGCTTTGACTTCAGCCTTACACGTAGCTCGGGAAGCGAACAACGTATTAACTTTGGCAGATATGGTCTATTATCTGGCCATCACATGTGCAATAAATATATGCCATAGATATCAAATTATTCAAAAATCCATGGATGGGTCGAGGGCAAGGGTATGCACCCCATCGATGGAAAGTCAGAGAAGCTTCCGCACTGTGCCTCGTGCCATTGACTGATTCTCGCTACCTGCCCCCCACCAATCTGGAAAAGTAGGCGTCGGCTAGCTGGCTGAATAAAGCTATCGATAATGCCGCTCTAGGGAATCCTCTATTTGTTTCAATTTGTCAACGAGGCCTCCATTTGATCCTCTCAAAACCTGTCGCTACTATCTGCATGGCATCGTTAACATGGTACTGCACCTCAAAAATTATGCTAACTAGATCTTCATCAGACTTAAGAAGCTTCAACAGCTCTTGAGCCGCTTAATCCTCGTAGCCTAGACCTGCTAGCGCTGTCAGAAAGACTATGTTATAGCTAGAGAGCTCAAGCTAGATTCTACTTAATGGGTACTTGCCATCTTCTGGAAGGATGCCAGAGTTATAAGCGTACAAGATATATAGCAGGATATTCCATAGGTTAGCGGGTGACACAGTTTGATTATTAATGCCTCGGCCATCGGACGTATAGAGGCACCTCACAGTCTTTATTACTCGCCTGAATTCTACTTCTTCAATTTACTCATTTACCAGACTCTCCAAAACAATTGTTTTTGCCAGTATAAACTTTTTTTCATATCCTATGGCGAATTCGTTTGTTCCTTTGTATAGTAGCGTGCTAGGCAACAGGCACTCGACGCACTCCTCTGGGAGCTAGAGCATGAGTGGGGCCGGGATGGATTAAGATAACTACTATTGAGTAGATTAAGTATCGTCATACCTAAATAACCGAACTACCTCTGAATTCACCTGTGTTGAATCATACCAAGCATGGCTGTCCAAAACCTCGATATATACGCCGTAGCGCATATTCCTCCTCAGCCTCGGTTAGACATTAGGAAGTATCTAAGGTTTATTGGGTGTTAGGATCACATTTGGATATATTGGATTCAATCATAGACTACCTTAAATAAGCTAGCTGAACGCACGGGCCACTCAGAGAAGGGACAACTTCTAGGGATCGATGCTCGGAACAAAAGAATCAAGTTGTTTCTACTGAGTTGTTGATACCCATAAATATTCTTCACCTGCTACAGGGCAGGTTCTCCAGTTTCCTGACAGCCTCAGCCACCATACGCCAGAGTCCTCGACGTTCTCATTGACTCCGAAATGTAAATGACGTGCCAGATCCTCGAGTGCCTAAGCCTTGCACCTCCACATAGTACCTGTGAGTTGTAGTCGTCATTGGGGATCTGTGTTGTCACGGATCAGGTATAAAAGCAACGGGAATTTGTATAGAAGATAGTAGTTTATATTTCGACTAATGGTGAGCTATTTAAGGAGTCGGACATGTATTTATACATTCCTTTTGTTACTATCCTCGGCCTTCATCCCAGGAATAATCACGGCTTACTGACTTGGATCCTTCTAGTAACTTCTCGTCTCGTCCCTGGAAGGATCTTTCTTCATTGCTAGAAGATTCCCACTCTTTCTAGGTGAAGCTCGATCAACTCTGCTCTAGTCTCGAATGTTCCACCAGAAAAATATGCCAGGTAAGCATATCTAAGAATCTACAAGAATATTCCTGATCATACCTCACAGGAGCCAAGAGCTGTCTGCGCTAGCCAGCGTAGACTACAGGCATTACCCGATTTACTAACCGTCACATGTGTTATACCCTCAGTTTCTACTTACTCTTTCTTTCCCTTGTGCAAGTTCCGTTTCCTTCCCGACTTTCTATTCATTTCAGTTAGCTCAAAGAACTTTGCTTCCATTCACAGTCAAAGTTACGCGTGAGACGAGATTTAATGTACGTGTAGCCTAGTAAGAGAGTAAGTATTCCAACAATAATTATCACCGAGAAAAGTTATCAGCTCGGCTGACCACACGACCACTGTGCGGGGAAAGTGGAGCGGTAATCTGTTGTGCTGGTGATGGCCAGGAAAACGATGCACAAGGGTAATGATCATTGAGGGTGAAGGAAGAATTCTCCAGGTGGCTCCACGATAAGTAGAGGAACAATGAAGCACAGTATGGAAAGTGTTTCTAGATTGTACTACCAGATGTGGGAGACTAGAATATTCCGTGAAACTGTATTGAGTAAATAGGGCGAGAGTCTAGCTACCTCAGATTTGTATATAATTAGCGTTTTATACCCCTAGGACCTCTCATTCTGAATACCAAAAATATCATCAGTTCATATTGATTCATCGATAATTATCCGTATACTTTGTGCCAATTAACCTCCGTAAGCTCGTACCTTTACAACATAATCCCGCAACACGAAGACCATCCCATTGGTTGCGACGTAGACGCGACCTTATTTTTTGCACACAGCGTGTGTCCAATATCCTACTATGTCGCACATGCAAGTATATGAGAGGATCGCTTGTCAGCGAAAATAAAATAGAATGCGGTGTGCGCGAAGTTGTTCACAGTCATAAGAATGCTTACGACCACAAGCATTTTGCCGAATTCCAACACTTTTCTCATCAGGGCGTGTGTTGGTATGTGATGTGATGAGTATGAGGTGGGTCGCGGGTGTAGGATTGAGCAAGAATTACTTCATCGCAAAAATGTTGTGAGTTTGAAGGGCCCCTGTTGTTTGCACACGTTCCCCAAACAGACTCAGGCCATTCGTGAATCGTATGTTGGTGGTGAGTTATCGTTCATCTTTCTTGCGCTTATGAAATCTTCGGTTAGTTCGTCAAGCAAATTACGGGGAAATCTCCTTCAAGCCGACTATCCATCTTCTGTGATTCATCTCACCCTTGCTCGTGAGCAAATCTCGTCTCTGAGAGAATCTATCAAACCCAAATTCATCGAGGGCACTACTAACAGGTGTTACGCCTTCGTCCTCCTTGTATCGCGAGTAATTCGCTTTCACGAAGCCAATGCCTAGTTTCAACTTTCCTCGCTACTGTTCCGGAATGAACTTTCCATCGTCGTCGAGTGGTCATAACATGTGATGATTATTGTAGTCTAGCGCTTTTCATCCTCGTATTTAATGGTAACCACAAACTAATTGTATATCAAATGATGACAGGCGGGGGAGAGGGAACACAATGGCGAAAGCTACTAGCCAATCCCAAGCCATTTGGCCCACTTGTAGATGGAAACATCCATGTGTGTTACATGTGTAAAGACTCACCCAAAATAATCTGACTATAACAGTAAGGACGGTTGAATGGTGCAGTGGTACACCATTCGAGCCGTTCTCCCGAGTAGATACTGGGTAGCTTGGACACGTACCCCCATTGAGACAGGAGAAAGTTGGTTCGAATCCAGTCAGACTCACACACCTCTCTCTCTCGCGGTGATATTGTATTTGTGGGATGACGAAATCACACTCGGATAACCATAGGCATTTCACGCTTTTCTCTGTGGTGGGTATGCACCGAAGAAGTTAAACACCGCAAGGATTAACCTCGAGTGGTATCTGCAAATGAAATCTGAGTGTGAGTGTTCTAAATGTCAAATTGAGTCATCCTACTTGAAGTATATATCTTCCGATAAAACCTGCATGGGCCTCAAGGCGCCAAATCAGGACAATTGAATAATTTATTTATTTATACATGGATGTATGGTGCAACACGGTGCTAATCGCTTTAACCGACGTTTGATGGTGATTTATTTTATCTTTCCAAATTGTGCATGTGCACTCCAACAATTATTCTGGCATCCTCACTATCTATGAGAAAATATTGGGAATTAAAATGGTTGAATTTATCGAAATTTGTTTGTCTCTTTCATTTAGAAGCTAGAAGTCCTCTATAGTCGTAGACTCAGATAGGACTATAATAAAAATCTTATCTAATCTGATATAATTATTCTGGCACTGGGTAGTATCTTTTCACAAACTTGGGTCACATGAGTCTTCATTTATTTTGTGAAAACTAGGGTCTCATACGACAAAGTTCTTACCTATAGCGTCTTTTACCTACTTGGGTATGTTAAACGAGGAAGGCTCTCGGCCCATTCTACTCAATGATAATGAAACCAACACATCAAGGGGGCATAAGCCATAAGGCAGCTGAGGAGCAAAGATACGCAGCCTTGAGAATGTCTCAACCAAAGAAGTTCTCTGTATTCAAGCAAAATTATCCGTTTGGGATTTGAAGAGTCCCACTGGCTACAAACATACAAGGAAGAAAAAATGATAAAAATAGCACTCTACTACACTAAATCATGGCGGAGATAAAAGTTCGGATATCTGGAATTCAAATAGACAAGACAAGATGGTTTCACGAAGGTAAAGAACTCAAATGGATGTGGAAAACGGCCATACTCGATGGTAAGTAGCCGCGAGCTTGCTTTCTAAGACTCTACAACGCGAATTAATACGGAACTGCATTGCCTTCAACTCACTGCTGTACACGGCCCAGCTCTGGTCGCCCCGAGCACAAATAAGCATTGCTATAACTGCAGCCGATAGGGGCACACTCAAGCCTTGTGCAATGAGGCAAAGAGATATGGCGAGTGTGCGGGCACTTACCAGACCAGAGACTGCCCGGAAAAGCCGGCAAAGACGAATTCTTCACCTTCCGGTGGTGCCGGTGTAATCGCTCAGTATGCTCTGCATATCTGGGATGTCCAAGAAGAATCGCATCCGAATCGAAGTCGGAAGCAACCTCAAACAAATCTCCATTTGACGACTTCTCGACAATGCCTCTCTTACCATCATTTTCTGAGTCCTCACCCTCTCTCTAACCACACATCATCTCGCCTTGACGACCAATAAAGAAGTTGCTCCAATTGCATACAGGAGCTTGCCCCATTAATTTCCAGCCATCTCTCACTACATATTTACGACGCTACGTATACCCGCAAGGAGGAAATCAAGTCGAAAAATACAAAGCCTGGGCCATGGCTTTTGGGGGACTGTTGCTCTAATGGGATAAACAACTTGAGGGAGAACAGGCGCCTGAGATGTGGAGCGGGAGGGGGGTAAGGTCTCTAAAGAGCATGCTGGGACTAATATTCTCAAGGAGTTTTCGACTTTGGATTTTTTGTGGGCGCCAAGACCAAGATTTCGGCTAATTAGCCAGGGCTTCTTTTGTCGATGAGTCAACAGCACTCCT